ATTTTTGTTTGCAGATGAGAAGAGCGATTTTATGGAATTAGTTGGTGTGGGACAGAAAGATTGGGGCATAAATCCAGTCCTATTTTTGATCAATTTCCTCTATTGACTTCTAAGCAATTTAAGTATGAACGATTTAAAAAAGCCTATGATATTAGGGTGATCATCCCGATTATGACCAGCGAAAATTCCGGTCGTTTGAATAGTATAATGATCGCTTGGTAAGAAGGAGAGAAGGAAGCTTTTTTCTAACTCAAACAATACAATAAAAAGCAGGCCATAACGGCGGTGATACCGTTTCAGTTAGGGCGAAATGTATACGTCTTTTTTTTTATTATTTAATCAGTCATCGACAGTTAGACATACATGTATATTTGCCAATCGAAGATTCCTTCATAAACAAATTCAAATTGCGTTCTGGGGGGATCTGCCACAAATTATATATATAAATCCGGGATTTATATAGCGACACAAATTATATACAACATATACACAGTGAAAGTCGATTTGAAAGAATATTTTTCATAGTATATATATAATCTAACAAACTGAGTACACACTAACCTACCAAAAGTATACAACAATCGATAAATTACTCAACAAGTAATGACGCAAATATTCTGAAACTGGACCAAATAAACCACCATTAATATTAATTCTAATTAATTTATCAAATTTTTTTTTACATTATATGAAGACAAAATTTTTTACTAAGGCACATATTTTGGGTAATAAATTGACGTTACGGAAATTTTTTGTTAAATTATCAGACATAATAAAATAGCGTTTTCTTTTACTCATTTCAAATCATTACCATTGTTACGTTTTAGAAAAAAATCTGCTAGAATATGTGGAGATATGGATTTTTTTTAATACAATTGCGTCTCAAAAGTCACAGACACCCCTAAATTTGCGATTAAATGCAAATATTGACATACGAGCAGTGCAATTACCGTGAAGTTAATACTGAATTTAGCACATCTAGTGTGCAACATATGAACAAAATTGCAACATGTTAGATAAATTTTTTATATAGTTAAAGTTTATGTTACCTAAAAACCTAACATTATGTTATGCGACCTAAAAGTTTAAAATTGTTTGAAAAATCAATCCACATAATAAATTTACACAAATTTACATTAATTCGAAAACGCAAGAAGCGTGCTATCGAATGCAGAGAAACTAAAATATACGTTTATTTTATTTATCTGCTCTTTGAATGACTTCGGACCACAGTTGATAATGATTCAAATCACAATCACATTAACATGCATAATGTGATCTGCATCTAAGCCGCAAACATTATTCAGTCGATACGCTTAAACTTTTTAGTGGAAAATGACTGAACGACAAGAGCTTACCGAGTTTGAAAGTGGTCTTATTATTGGAGGGTGGCTATTTGGTCACTCAGAACGAGAGATTGAAGAAAAAACTAGCCGATACGATAGCAAGGCATTGTAAAAATGGTACACGACTCCTGTCACACGGACTGGGAGATTATTAATACTGACAGACAGAGATAAGCGACATCTTGAAATAGCTGTTCGAACCAATCGCCAGCAGACTACAATGCAAACATTGTCCAATCAACTGGAACTGCTGTTAGTGAATTGACAATAAAACGAGCTTTGTATGAATCGGGGTATAATAGCCAAGTTGCCACTTATTTTGGTGAAAACAAGAAAGATCGAATACAGTGGGCGAGAATGATTGGAAAATAAAAATAAAGACGATAATTTTTTGCATTCGATAGCACGCTTCTTGCGCTTTTGACTTAATTTGTGATTTTACTATCTAACATATTGCAATTTTTTGTGTATGTAAACCTATGCTGGTTTACTTAATAGGAAAGAGATTGTAAAGATTTGTGTCTATTAAACAGATTTTCCTTTATTATAATTTCCAGCTAAAGTTACGTAAAAATTTGGTTATCAATAGCTCTAATTGTTAACTAGGAATTGTTTTATGCTACTTTGTTTCATTGAATTTATCCGTTCTTCACGAATGAACTTCTCCAAACTATTAACTAACTGCTGGCCCCTCTTGTTGAATTAGAAACATCTTTATATTATTCTAATAATGGGCTTGACATTTTCGATCTCAGCCGATGATTGTCAAATTTGCGAAAAAGAATATGCAAGAGACGCTATGTATGGTCGATGGTTTGGATCGTGTTATTTCTTTACTGCTATAGGCAAAAAATAAGCGAGCCAGGCATTGAGATAGCCAAAACAGGCCGTGGCAAGACAAAAGTCGTTCCGCGTTTGGATAGGTTAAGTTCTAGCCTTCAGCGTTCATCAAAATAACTTTTCTGCAATCGGTAAGAACGTCGGAATATACACTACCCTCGGAAAAGTATTTGGTCAAGCATTTTTCAAAAATTTCAAGATTGAACATATTAACTGGGCAAAAAGAATTTTTTAGATAAATCTCCTGCTTTGGCAACAAAAGCGTAAACGTAACTCAACACGAAAAGGCAAACAATTGATTGCATTCGGCATGGGAAAAGACCGTGAATTAAATGAGTTTGAACGTGGACAAATTGTTGGTTTACAAATGGCTGGAAAGTCCCATGAAGCTATAGCTCGTATTCTAAATTTTTCAAAAAGCACTGTTACATATACAATTGCTCGATATGCTAATTCCAGTCATGGATCAAGTGCTAAAAGAACTGGAAGACCACCTTCCATGAATAATGATGACCATCGTACGCTAAAGAAAATTGCAAGCATGCCACATAGAATTAAAGCATGCATTAGGAATCAAGGATGGCCTACATATACAGAGTATTAAATTTTATGTCTGTTAAAAAATTTAAATAAATAAAATACTTGTTTTGTTGACTAAATACTTTTGCGAGGGTAGTGTATGATACCGAAACAATGCGTAGTTATAATTTACAGACTAAACTTTTTAGTGGGAGCCGGTACTTGGTAAAAGGGACATTGTGGTATTGGTAAATCAAATAGGACTGCAGAAGAAATAAAAGAGCTTCATCATTCTAACGGATTCACTGTATTAACCCTCATTATTTCAGGTAGACGCTTTCTTGCCCATGGTCGAAAAACTCTTTTCGAAGGGTTTAAATCTTATCCTGAGTTATATGTACAGAAATCAATCCTAAAAATACTCCGAAACTTATTATCAGTCCATAAACTCGGAGCAACAGATTATGATGTGGTTATACCGGATGAATTTGAAACAATTACTCAAAACTTTAGCGGGCCTCCATGAAAAAACCAAAGTTAAGTCGTGATGTATATACATAATACAGGGGTTTGCAAAAAAAATTGGACAAATTAACTTGCTCATTTCTACTTGAAACAAGCAGTTTTTATTTATGCATTATTTGATCGCCGTTACTAGCTTACACGGTCTCTTTATTGATTCTGCCAAACTAATTAGAGAGAGTTTAAGTAAAACACCATTTTTCCGTCATAAAATGTTCTAATTTTTGTTTAAGGTTTCATTATACGTATGCATAGAGAAACATCGGTGTTGTACTCAGGGAAATTTGCTGAAAATCCGAAACAATACTTACTGTTTTGTAATACGTGATAAAAAAATTTCAGGTGATAAGAAAATAAGGTTCAATAAAGTTCTATGGAAAATAAGTTTCGGTAATACATGTGGTCATCGAGTCGCGTAGCGTTAGGGTTTTGCATTATAACTACAAGGTTAGTCCAATTTATTAACGTTCTCTCGTGCAAGCTCCCTGTATATTTACATGTACAAGTCAAGTGTATCCTACGGCATATGGCTGCATTAGATGTTTGGTGCTAGTCTACAGGAAAGTACTTGAGCTTAAGTATTCAAGGCCTACTATACTACCTACTATGTCCTGATTAAGAATACATTGCCATTCTCTTTTCCCGCGCTTGGTATCCTTATTTGGTAATGACCCAAAGTATAATCTTATAATATATATATTCTATAATAGTTATACCTTGGTCACTTTTTCCATTATTATATGAAGCATTGTATTTGTGCATAGTATATTAAATTTCGGCTATACTTTGAGATATCAGTTACCTGTTTATTTAGCATATTACCTTGTACTTACTTGAATATTATCTCAGTTAAAATTACGCGTATGAAGTGTGTGAGACACAACAAACCCCGATTTGAATATTGCATACATTATTGTAAAACGTAGATGAACAGTTGATTGTATGTAAGAGTAGACTGGATTGATAATAAATTTTGGTTATGATCAATAATTGATATGACGCCAGTGTAGGTGCTAGTTCGTTAGTGGAAGCCACCTCTGCTTCATGTATTAAAACCAGCTCCATTATATGGTTAGCGATCGATCCAATAACTACGTTTCCATGTACGTCAATCTTTCGAACCTGAAAGTTTTCGTTAATAAATTTTATGGTAGCATTAAGATCGGTTGACTCTTTAGCCCGAGACTTGAATCCGAAAAGCAATAATGCATCTTGACAATTGTTATTTTATACTTTATATCTATACCCTTTATTTATACATAATTACTATACTGTCAGCGAAGTATACTAGGGTATGTTAAATGATTCCCGTATTACAACTTGAAATTCCCACAAGTCTAAGTTGAATCCACCAATCGCTGATGCAGGAACACCAGTAGGATCTCCATCAAAAAGTTCTGTCGCAGGAATATTCATTTGGTAAGCTGGAATACCAGCCATTGCACAAGGAGGGAAAGGATTATTATTGATATCAGAGAGTCCAACACCCATGAAAATATGATGAGGAACCCCCATATCATTGTAGACATAGTATTTAGAAACATTTGCAGGTCCTGACGTCCCAAAAGACCTGACATCGACTGGAATCAGTGGTGACGGGCTCGTTCGAAGGTACAGCGCAGCAATCATCGCAGCAGTATGATCCACACGAGGTTTGTATATCTTGATAGTCAGCACAATCTGGATTGTGGTTCGAACATCAAAGTAAAGTTCTACCTTCCGATGCATGTCAGGAAGACCCTGTGTATGGCCGACTTCAACTATCATTGTTGGGTATGGCGTTCCAAATCTATCCATTGCCTGTGCGAGTGGAGGCCGAGGACGCTGTACTGGTCGGACCCATAAATCAGGCTCTTTCACGTTGTTTTGGTTCAGAATCATGGTCGTATCGACACCATACCGCAAATCCTGACAGTTCCAACTACCCATCAATACATTGAACAATGCTATTACCGTTGCACGAATCACTGTAGGTATTTCATTGATTATGATTTTCCCATCACGAAGATATAGGCGGACCGGAAGCCTCAAGTCACTTTTGCGGTAATCCAGAAAGTCATCAAGCGACACGTCTTCTTTGACAATGACTTCACTAGATTCAGGTTTGCGTTTTTCCTCCATTTTGGCTGATTCGAACAAGGATTTCTTTGCTAACTCTACAACATCAAGGGTTATTCCAAGCCTTTTTTTGTATGCTGAAGAAGATGCGGAGGAAGATACTGAGAACTCAGTGGAAGTTTTCATGTCCGTGTTGGAAGGTGTTGTGAAAATTTTCTTGCTCTGATAACGATAGTATGTGGAGTAGTTGTTGGTATTGTCTGAAGAATAATTTTTCCTAATATAGACCTTGAACTGTGTGACAAATAAATATGAAAAAGTGAGCCTTTAATCAAATAGACAATCTGTGGCAGAATTTCCCAGTGATATAATAATAAACCTACTTTAAGTGTGTCTAGAGCGACAAAAGATAAAAATTTTACGCGTCTTTTGGTTGAGGGATCTCATTTATGGTGATACAATGATGGAAGCGGTGATGCAAGCAGTGATGGAAGTAGTGATCACTTATTACTGAAGATTATCTAACAGTCGACACTGGGTATTAAGTAATCATGATGCTCCACTACTACAAATAGAAATAGACGATCGACGTATTGTATGTTTTGATGTATCTTCTCGCTGTAAGGGTAATAATAATAATGCATATTTTAAGCGTTTAGGTAAAGTTCTGGAACCCCCGATGCACCAAGCGTAATTATCTTACTTATTTAGCCTTAATATCTCAGACTGGAGTCCAAGATATACCTGCCGCCAAAATAAAAACGGAAATACAGTTAAACCTCGATATAGTAAAAAATTCCTCTGATCCAAAAACAGTATTATTAAAATTTCCCTCAATATAATGAAGTTATATAGTAAGTCTGTATTAGATATAGTAAAGTTTTTTCTCAAACAATATTAGTTGCATCTCGATACAAGGCAAACTCGATAAGACGAAAGTCGGGGGCGGAGGCAATTTATTCGGCTTATTATTATCGAGATTTTCGTTTTACTAAATTTCGCACTAAGCCGAATTTACATATTTATTTGTACAATTCAACAGTATAAACTTATTCATTAATGGTAAAACGAAAGAATATTTGTTTGCTGTAACGTATTCTGATGTTATTCTCTTTAACTTTCTTAAGTTAGATAAGAAAGTAATATCAACGTCGAGCTCGTTGTCACAATCTTGACTGTGTTGGGTTTTATTCCAAACCCAATTGCTAAAGTTTCCAACGTAAAATTAGGATGTTCTTGCGCTTTAATACAAAGAGCTTTTTTCGAGGCCAGTCAGCGTCTTACGTTTTATTTTTTCTCTGGTGCTTTATTTTTTGAATTGCTTATTATGGACACAATATTTGAAGAACCACTCGTTGAACTTTCTCCATGATTGTTCATTCTGAAGGATTAAAGTTATTTGTAACAAGCACTTACGTGTTTAAACGAAAAGATTTTTCATAAAGAATACCTGACGCTAATGGCCGAAAATTCTATAACTGGAAAGGTAA